TTACAGTTTTCTGAATACAGGTCTCTTACCTCCTTAGGCAAGCCTATTCCTAGGTATTTTATTCTTTTTGATGTGATTATAAGTGGACTGTTTCCTTAATTTTTCTTTCTGATAGTTCATTGTTAGTGTGTAGAAATGTAACAGATTTCTGAATAGTAATTTTGTATCATGCAACTTTACTGGATTCATTGATAAGCTCTAGTAGCTTTTTGGTAGTGTCTCTATGATTTTTTATGTATAATATCATGTCATATGCAAACAGTGACAGCTGTATTCTTCCCTTCCAATTTGGATTTCTTTTATTTCTTCTTCTTGTCTGGTTGCCATGACTAGGTTTTCCAATACCGTGTTGAATAAAAATGGCAAGAGTGAGAACCCTTGTCTTGTTCCTGATACCAGAGGAAATGTTTTGAATTGAATCTACAGATTTAAAACAATCCTTTAAAAAGATGCACATGGCATTCTTCACAGATCAAAAATAAATAATTTTAAAATTTTTACTGAAGCACAAAAGACCCTGAAGAGCCAAAACAATCTTGCAAAAGAACAGAATTGGAAGTATCACACTCCTTGACTCAGACTATACTACAAAGCTACAGTAATCAAAATAGTATGGCACTGGAACAAAAACAGACACATAGATCAATAGAACAGATTAGAAGGCCTAGAAATAAACCCATGCACATTTGATCAACCTAATGATAAAGGAGGCGAAAATATACAATGGAGAAAAGATAGTCTCCTTAATAGTGGTGCTGGGAAAACTGGACAACTACATATAAGAGAACGAAATTAGAATATTTTCTCACACTATATACAAAAATAAATTCAAAATGGATTAAAAACCTAAATGTAATACTGAAACCATAAAAGTCTTAGAAGAAAACACAAGCAGAACAACCTCTGACATAAATCATAGCAATACATTCATGAGGCAAGCATATTTTGCTAGAGGCAGAACTAAAAGGCCCTGGTGCTCTTGGTTGTATAGTCTGGGGTAGGACTTCCTCTACTGGAACAAAGAAGAATCAGTCTGGTCTATGATGGCCTCTGTGGTCATTGCCATGACTAGGTTTTCCAATACCGTGTTGAATAAAAATGGCAAGAGTGAGAACCCTTGTCTTGTTCCTGATACCAGAGGAAATGTTTTGAATTGAATCTACAGATTTAAAACAATCCTTTAAAAAGATGCACATGGCATTCTTCACAGATCAAAAATAAATAATTTAAAAATTTTTACTGAAGCACAAAAGACCCTGAAGAGCCAAAACAATCTTGTGAAAGAACAGAATTGGAAGTATCACACTCCTTGACTCAGACTATACTATAAAGCTACAGTAATCAAAATAGTATGGCACTGGAACAAAAACAGACACATAGATCAATGGAACAGATTAGAAGGCCTAGAAATAAACCCATGCACATTTGATCAACCTAATGATAAAGGAGGCAAAAATATACAACGGAGAAAAGATAGTCTCCTTAAAAGTGGTGCTGGGAAAACTGGACAACTACATATAAGAGAACAAAATTAGAATATTTTCTCACACTATATACAAAAATAAATTCAAAATGGATTAAAAACCTAAATGTAATACTGAAACCATAAAAGTCTTAGAAGAAAACACAAGCAGAACAACCTCTGACATAAATCATAGCAATACATTCATGAGGCAAGCATATTTTGCTAGAGGCAGAACTAAAAGGCCCTGGTGCTCTTGGTTGTATAGTCTGGGGTAGGACTTCCTCTACTGGAACAAAGAAGAATCAGTCTGGTCTATGATGGCCTCTGTGGTCTGAGAGACACCAAACCTGTCTCATGTCTGCCTCCCTGAACAGCCACCTGCCAATTTGAGAGGGGAGGATAGAAATAGCTGTTGCAGTAATTTACTTGGGGATGATTAATGGACCTCCCATTCTCTTCTCCTCTTCCTTGTAAGACTTAGAATCTCCTCCTCATAAGATTCAGGGTCCTCTAAATTAATTCTCAAGGGAACACTGAACCAGCATTAACTGCAACCAAAGAGATCAGCCTGAGTCTCCCCACTGGGGGCCAGGATTGTTATGAGCAGTTGGTTCTTAATAACTCTCATCCTGACCTAGTTTTGCTCTTTTGGTTATAAGGACTCAAGATCCACTCAGGCTATCTCAGGGAAAGTTCTATTGTTGTGGTGGTTCTAAGTAAAGATGCATTTGGGGGCAATTTTGGAATCTTATATAAATCAAAGAACAAGATTCTTAACAGTTAAAAGTGAAAGGATTGAGAAATGGAGAATGTTCTTTTAAAAAATTTTATGTATTTATTTTTGGCTGCACTGAGACTTCGTGGCTTTTCACAGGCTTTCTCTAGCAGAGACAAGCAGGGGCTACCCTTCATTATGGTCCAGAGGCTTCTCATCGTGGTAGCTTCTCCTATTGCAGCAAACAGAATCTAGGTCACGTGGGCGTCAGTAGACGTGGCTCGCGGGCTCAGCAGTTGCGTCTTGGAGGCTCTAGAACGTGGAGTCAGTAGTTGTGGTGCACAGGATTAGTTCCTGTGGCAACTAAGTTCCATGGCATGTGGAATCTCCCCAGACCAAGAATCAAACCCATGTCCCCTGCATTGGCAGGCAGATTCTTATCCATTGTGCCACCAGGGAAGTTCATGAAAGTTCTTGATAGCAAGCAGCTCCAGGAAACCCAGAAATAGAATTCATGGGTTCACCTTTTGAATCTCCTCTACTAATGAGACAGATGCTTTCTATATATTTTTTTCTCTTTTTCCTTTTTCTAATGGGCTTCATCTGCTGACTCATAGCTTTTGCTTCCAACCCCACCACCATAATATCAACCCTACCTCATGGAATCTTTGGTGGGTCCTTTCTGATTTGGGTCTCATTAAACTGATTTTGTCTCCCTGTTTCTCAATTTCAAGTTCCTCAAATATCACACTAACTAGCCCAATTCACCCGTTTCCTTCAGTCGGATATGTGAGTGCATGCATGCTAAGTCACTTCAGTCATGTCTGACTCTTTGTGACCCTGTGGACTGCAGCCTGCCAGGCTCCTCTGTCCATGGGATTCTCCAGGCAAGAATATTGGAGTGGGTTGCCACACCCTCCTCCAGGGGATCTTCCTAACCCAGGGATTGAACCCACTTCTCTTACGTCTCCTGCATTGGCAGGCAGGTTCTTTGCCACCAACACCACCTGGGAAGCCCTCTGTCAGATGTATTACCCTCAAATCTATAGATTTATTCATCTGGGGTCACAGTTGTCCCAGTCCAGTGAACTATGGCTACAGGACAACCGCAAATGTCACTGGGTTGAAGCTGGAATAGATTCCTTTGGAAGCAATGTGGATAGAGGAAGCTCTATGGCATTTTTATGATGTGACATGAGTTTGACTTTATCAATCTATCCATAATTAGCAAACGCTACAGTACCTCGCTTACCAGTCTTTCAGTCCCACTATGATTTCAGTCATAGCTGTGTGGACAGTTTGTTTAAGTTAGACTCACCTTGAGCTAACAGTATCCCACTTCAAACACCATCCATCTTTCTGCTTCTATGCCCCAGACCTTCTCCAACACTATGGAAGTCCCCTGTGCACAGCCCAGAAGAACAGGGGTTACAACTGTGGAAGGCAGGATTCTAAGATGTCCCAAAGATTTTTTCCCCCCTGGTGTACACACTCTGCATAATCCCCAGGACTGTAAAAATGATGACATAATTGGCCTTAACGTAGAGATTATCCAGGTGGGCCTGACCTAAGCATGAATCCTGTAAAGGCAGAGCATTTTTCTCTGGCTAGTAGCAGAAAGGAAAGCCAAAGATTCAAAGCACTAAAAGAATTTGATGCACCATTACTGCCATGAAGATGGAGGGGCCATGCAAAAAGGAAATGGGGAATTCAATCCTGTGGCTGCACAAAATTGAATTCTGCAACATAAATATGCTTGAAAGTGGATTTTTCCTCAGAGGCTCCAGATGAAAACTTAATGCAGCTGACACTTTGATTTTAGCCATTTGACACCCTGAGAAAAGAACCAAGTCATGTCATGCTGGATTTCTGAACTGTGAACTAATAAATGAGCAAGGATGTAAGCTGCTATATTGTGGTGATTTGCTACACAGCAAGAGAAAACTGATACAAGGAAAACAAACAGGACAAAAAATGATAGTTTCATCATTAAAAAAAAAAGTCGAGGGCCTTTAGTTACTCCTCAAGGGCTATAGGTGATATTCTGAGCCATATCCTTTGAGCTGTTTTATAGACACTAAAACCCCTACCAGGTGGAAGAAGTTAACTCAGTGACCAGACTGTAGCCATGACATAAGCTGCCACAACTCCGAGAACTGGCCTTAAAGAAATAAGAACAAATGGACCCTGGAGCTGAAGACTAACTGTACTTAAAACAATCAAGGTGATGCTGATCAGACCACCCCATTATCAATCTCAGGACAATTGTGAAGAGTTGACAGTGCTGTTTTTGCATGTAGTTCTTTTCCCCACCTGTAAAAGTTCTTGTCCACTGATTGTCAGTTGGGGGAGTGGGGTGGAAATTGACCTTTGACAGGAGTCTGCCATCCCCTACCCCAGTTGCCAGACTTCAAAATAAAGCAATCTTTCCTTTCTATCCAACTTGCCTCTTTATTAGCTTGTGAGTGGCAAGCAGCCAAACCTCACTTTTGGTTAACAATTCTACACAGGAAAAAACAAAATACTTGAAAGTCTCAGTACCAATAAAATTTCCGTTTGTCTCTTTTGACTATATTTATAACTTTTCACTGGATATTTACCAAATTCTGGTATTAGAGGATTTCAGACTTAGGCAGCAAAATACAGCTGTGATGTGATACCGTATGGTTCTGGGTGAAGCCAAAAAGGTAACCAGCAGCACCAGAAATGAAAAGGCTCTTTCCACTGACAACCTAAGGACATCCCTGGGTTAGCATTTCCCTATGAAGACAATGAGGAATTTGGGGGTCTTGCACTCTGGCAGCTGGGAATATGTGATGGTCACTCAGTTAGGTGTTTCTGACTTACCAGGTTCCTCACAGCAGCCTTCACATCCTTGTTCCTCAGGCTGTAGATGATGGGGTTGAGCATAGGGGTCACCACCCCATAGAAGAGGGAGGTGAGCTTGTCTACAAGGTCCTGTTTGTCTGCCCCCAGGGGGTCCTTGGATTTGGGCTTCCCATACATAAAGAGGATGGTCCCGTAGAAGATGAACACCACTGTGAGGTGGGCAGAGCAGGTGGAGAAGGCCTTTTTCCTCCCCTCAACTGAGGGGATCCTCAGGATGGTAGCAATGATGAACACATAGGAGACAAAAATGAACAGAACTGGGATTCCCAGGAAGATCACATTGGCCACAACCATACTGATCACATTGATGGAGATGTCAGCACAGGCCAACTTGAGGACAGCCAGGATCTCACAGGTGAAGTGGTTGATGACATTGTCCCCACAGAATGGCAGTCTCATAGCCTGGGATGTCTGAACTACAGAGTTGGTGATACCAGCTGCCCAAGAGCCAACAGCCATGGGCCCGCAGGCAACCTTGCTCATGACTACAGGGTACCTCAGGGGGTTGCAGATGGCCACATAGCGATCAAACGCCATCATGCCCAGAAGCACACACTCCGTAGCTCCCATGGCAAAGGAGAGGAACATCTGCCCAAAACAGGCTGAGAAAGAGATGGTTTTCCTGGGGGTCAGGAAGCTGTCAAGGATGAGGGGCACTGAGGAGGTTGTGTAGCAGATGTCCAGGAAGGAGAGGTTCCCCAGGAAGAAGTACATGGGTGTGTGCAGGCGGGAGTCAAGGATGGTCACCATGATGAGGACCCCATTGCCCAGCAGGATCACCAGGTACACGAGCAGGATGAGCACAAAGAGTGTTTTCTCCAGCTTTGGGTGGGCTGAGAGACCCAGGAGAATGAACCCCACCAGGGGGGAGGTCTGATTGGACCTGTCCATAGTGCCTCTGCTCTGTCACCTGCAGGAACTCTCTGCCGTCAACCTCAGCACTCTCTGACTCCAAAAGTGCCTGGGCATAAGGGCAAAAATCTCTGCCCTGTTGAGCTCTGACAATCTGCTCATGTCTAAGGGGCTCTAGAAAAATTATGATAGAGATCAGTATTTTACTTCTGTTTTCAGTAAGAATGAAGAGTTAATTTGGACCAACTCATCTGCAGATGAAAAATTTTAAAAATTGAGCAAATGACTTAAAACTTTTGTGTAAAGCACTTGGCAAGACAGATAAGATGACAAGGAATCAGTGTCAGGATTCACGGGGAAGAAAGGAATTCGGAGAAGTAAATCTGGCTTTTGAGGCTATGTGTCAGCTGGGGCATCTGCACCTTCTGGAGGTGGCCTCTGAGAGACCAAGAAGCATTACTCACAGCCTCCTGGAGGTAGAAACAGGTCTGAAGTGCAAGGCCCACTGTGAAGGGCCCCTAACTAAGCCTCCTCCCTTTGGAAAGAAACCAAAGGGCAACACCATAGGAATAAGAGTTAATCAGAAAGAAACATGTGTTTACAGGTGCTGCAGATCAACTGCAAATCTTCTCGAGCTCTGAAATTGGACTGAGGTCCTCCCCAATTTTTGATGCTCCCAAACACCTAAAGGAAGCAAACACAAATCTACCTTGAAGGAAGGCAACATCATCACTACCTCTAAGTCAGGTCCACAAATAATTCTGCAAATAAAATGCCTGGCACACATTGAAAAGGAGTAAGTCACACAGGAGACAGGACTGCATAGCTGAAAACTGACAGGAAAAAGCAGAAAACCAAGCCTCCTTTCTTAGCGGAAGGTGAGGGACCACAGCTGCTCTGCCCTGGTGTCGCCTGTTGAGAGAATTAACCGAGACACAGTGCCAAGGCCTTCACCTCTTGTTGATCCTTTGGGACACCCAGGGTGCAAGAGACCCTTTTGTGCACTGTGGCCAAGCTGAAGGAGCGTCTGACGGGCTGTCCCTTCTTTTCTTCGTTCTCCATCTGCCTCACCAGAGGCACCGGCTTCTCCCTGAGACTGTTTCCACCGTTCCGAGTCCTGCTCTGTCAGTCCTTCTTTCCGGGAAGCCTGAATCTCCCCTCAGACTTCTAGGAGCTCCCCAAACTGGGATTTATTCTGGACCAAAAAAAAAAAAAAAAAAAAGGTAGGTAACACTGAGGATGTTGGGCATTTGCCTCTATTTGCTCTAAAACATTCATGAATTCCCAGATCTCCACCTCTCCAAGTGTTCGCAGTCATCCAGCCCCTGCCTCGACTCTGCAGGGAACCCTCCTGCCTGGGGAGCTCTGAGACACTTCTCTGGCGGTGCCCAGCGCTGTAGCTGTGACCAAGCCCGCACCACAGTAATTCAGTTCAGGCTGATGTATTTACTGAGCATCTGTGCTGAGGCGGGCACTGTGTTAGGTGCTGGGATCACAGCAAAGAAGGGCACAGCCTACAGCCTCAAGGGGCTCAAAACCTAACAGAGGAAACAGTCACGCACATAGTCACACACGCAAGTAATTATGTCATCCTCGACCAGAACGGTGCCTCTCACACTATTGACACCAGGCCTTGGGACTTATTTCGAAATCTGTGCCCTTTCCAATGTGCAAAGCCCCTTGCTGTGTTCCTCGTGGCCCTCTGGCCTGCCTTTGGCTCCCTGAGTGATGTGGGGCGCTGTGCTTTCTGGCGAGACTCATTTCGCTTTGAAGTAGTTCCCCTTTGATATTGAGCTGAAATCTGCTTCTTTGCAACATTAATCCCTCTTCCACAGACAGCCCTCCAAAGGTCCAGAAATAGCTTGGCTTCAGCATGAAGATAAACAAGAGTCCATCTCTCTTTTTCTCCCAGGGCCTTAAAACAGTCGTATTTCTCATGAGCAAATGTACCATCCAGAAACTGACTACACAGGCTGGTCAGTACTGAGAATGGCCCCCACCTTTAGCATGGCTCACCTGCCCAGAACACAGTGCCACCTGGATATCTGTGCTGAGACAGTAAATCAGTACCAGGCTGGGTTTTCACTCTATGTCAGCCAGCCCTCCAGACTTTTCCCCAAACTTGGATTCTGTGAAGAAAATATTCCTCCACGTCATCATCACTAGATCCAGATTCGTGGCTCATTATTATTGCTGGATGTTGGATTCTTAACTACAAAAGAAGAAAAAGCCTCCCAGTTTTAAACAAGAAAGGACAACTGTGTGAGAAAAAGATTATGAGCTGTGGGTTCCCAGGCAACCCTTTCCTCTCTGCACAAAGTGGGGTGAGGCCAGATGACCTTAGAGACTCTTGCAGTTTGATGGGTCTATTTGCCTGTGTGAGAATAACACCTTATCCATGAAGGGCTTCCTACCTCGCCTTCTCAACCCTATTCCATTACAGTCAAGTCTGAGAACAGAAATGCCGCTGCACTGATGAGACATTGGTGTCATCAAATCCTGCGCTTACCTTTATCAGAGACATGTGAGCAAGAAGGGTCTGCTTCCTAAGGGCTGGGAAGAGGCCACATATCAGAAAGAGCAATACCAGGTGGGAAGTATCAGGGTGAGGGTTCAGAATGTGTGACAGGTGAAGGGTCCAGCCAGTCGTCTGCCCTGTGTCTCAGGGTACAATTTCCAAAGGACTGTCCATCACCCTTAGAAGATAATTTAAATTCCAGTCTGTTCCTTGGGACCATTTTGTCCCTGAAGTCATTTAAAGTTTGGAAAGCGAGTTGACACATTTAGAAACTTTGTATCCTTCTGGGATAACATCCCCAAGATCCAATTATGCTGAAGACATCAGAGGAAGTTTACTGCCTGCTTCCTTTCTCCCTCCCTCCTTCTCTCCCTTCCTTCTCTCTTAATATAATAATCCCATTAACAACCCAACAGCCTGCTGGTCAATGACTGCATGACTCATGGGTATCTCCAGGCAAGAATATTGGAGTGGGTTGCCATTCCCTTCTCTGCAAGTCTGTGCTTATGCAGTGGTTTATAGGGGTCTGAGTGAAAGACATATTCTCTTCCGAATTTTCAACTTGTGGAATTAGGGTCCTTGAAGTATCCCACCGTGATCTTCCTGAATCCTCCCCTGGCATCCATCTCAGTCATTGCCCTTTCAGCATCCTATCATCTGCTCATGTGCTCCCAGACCTTATGGGAATCCCAGGGATGGACACAGAAAACGGTTATCTTTCTCTATCCAGCAAATGATTATTGAGTGTGTGCTGTTACACAGAAGGCAGAAATGTGCCAAGAACCAGGGTCTAGAGACAGGAAAGTGAAAAGAAAGCTACCACACAAAGAAGGAGGCACCGACCAGGGAGAACGCCCACGCTTATGTGACAGCCCAGAGGGAGCGGAGGGCCAGACCTCCTGGAGGAGGTAACCCCAGGGCCGCGGTGTGCTGGCTCTGGCTCACAACTGTGTACATCTCCTCCCAACTCCCATGAAGTGACTTTGTTGGTAGCTTGAAATGGGCCCTCCTAGGAGCGTTTACACCACAGAAATCAGCAAATGGTCCAGATCAGGGCTTTTTCTGACTTGGGGATGTGGTTGTTAAACATTCATCAGCACACCACTGGAGTGGAGGCATGTCCGTCTGCCAGATGAGGGGGAGTGGGGAATCATTCCAGCCAGAAAGGGCTGCATAAATCAAAGCTCAGAAATGAGAAGGAGCCCCTGGAGTAAGGAGTGACCATCAGGGCAGGTGTTTCTAGAGCACAAAGGGGCCGGATGGGGAGGGAGGCAGGGCTGGACCTGATCTTTTGGGACATCCTGAGGAGCTAGGACTTTCTTCTGTACCAGGTGAGGAGCCAGTTAGGGATTTTAAGTAAGGATCTGACACGATGAAATCTGCATCTTAGGCTGGTCCTTCCAGTCACAAAGTAGAGGGAACACTGGGGGCAGGCGAGAGGACAAACAAGGTCTAAAGAGACAGAGAAACACTTCAGGCAAACAAAATAAGAATACTGACAGGGGAGTGATTAGGGGGTGAAGATGAGGAGATTCAAGAAATGTTTGGTAGATACAAAACACAGTATTCGATTTTGGTAGGATGTAACAGATAGGAAAGAGGATAGAATCAATGTTTCTAGCTCCGATGATGGGTGGATGATGGTGACATCACCAAGGTAGAGAATATTGATCCAGCTGATGGTTTGCGGGGAGAAGATGAGTTCATTTTGGAGTATAGAATGTTTGAGGAACCTCCAGAAAGATATGGGGGAAATGTCTGAGCTCGAGACTCATCAACTTGTCCATCACTTAGGGAGAGTGGCTGGAACCCTGAAGTTGCTGGCACTACTCTGCTGTCTGTGGGCACAAGTCTAACTGTACTGCCCTGGGAGATTGTTGGCAGACCCCTGAAGTGCCAGTCATACTAGCTACAGTTTCCTTGACCTCTGGGCCACTAGGGACCCATCTGCTCTGTTATGAGAACTTTCCGAGGAAGTGGGTTTCTGAGGATAGAAAAGCAACCCCCTGTTGGCAGGAGAGAGAGCAAGGCCATGGAGACCAGTGACCAGAGGAGGTCAGTGGGGTGTGGACAGTCGAGGGTCGAGATTCACGAGTGAGGGGTAGGCAAGGACTGGAAGGGCAGAGACCCCGGAGCAGAGGAACTGCAGGCAGCTTCTCTGACCACGTGTAAAAACACCCCCCTTCCTCTGGGAGACCTTAAAGGGATAACTGGGACCCCAATCCTAGAAGTCTAGATAGACCAGGGCTCTCGGGCAGTAGCGTGCATCAGAATCGCCTAGGGGACCTGTTAAAACACAGATTGGAAACACACAGGTACACACACACACACATACTTGTGGGTGCGCAAGCAGGTTGCTGGGACCCACCCCCAGAGACTGATTAAGCAGGCCCATGGAAAAGCCCAGGAATCTGCATTATCAACAAGTTCCCAGGTGGTGCTGATGCTGCCCTCTGCCATCACACTTAGTCCGGGGCTAAACTTCTTACTAACTCAGCGTGTGGGGGTCTTGGGGCATTGA